GACAACAAAAACAATCACAAAAGAAAAAAAATTTAGGAAAGAGAAATGAGAACAAGAATAATAAAAGAAAAGGAACAAAATATGAGAAGGAAAGGGGGAAAGAAAAGAGAAAAGAAAATGAAGGGAAAGAAAATATAAGAAAGAATTATAAAAGAAAAGTGGTAAAAAAAAAAAAAAGAAAAATATGAAAAGGAAAAAGAAGATAGAAGAAAAATGAGAAAAGGAAAAAGGGAAAGAAAACAGAGTAAGAAAGGGAAATAGAAAGATAAAAATATGAAAAAAATGAGAAGAAGAATAAAGCAATAAAAAAATAAGAAAAAAAGAACAAAGGTGGAGTCCATCTTGGCATAGTTTAATGTCTGCTGGGATCTCCTTTTGGATCCTGCTCTTATGTTGTCTGAGTCTAACAGTTTTGCGCGCCAGTTCCAGGCCTCCTGGGAGGTACTTTGGTGCCAGCCAATGTCAGAAGCTATACACAACTGGCTCTCAGCAACCTGATCAAAGCTTCATGCAAATCACAGTTTGTTGCTGCATCTGCTGGGTTTTGTTGTGCATAGGAGGGACCAAGCTGTGTTCCAAGTCTGACTTTTTAAGCAGCCTGGGGTCAACAACATCCCATGGCACTTTGGTAACCACTTCGCCTACCATCTTCTGGCCAGCTATCAGACTTAGTCACTGAAAAGGTTGTTTCTGAAAGGGCTATTGGCAGAATCATGATGATAGGACCTCTGAAACTCTTGAGAAGGGTAGGTGCCATTCAGACTTCAGGGAATATGAAGGGTGTCTTCCCCACCTCAGATCTCCACATCTGAGTCTGTCCTAGACTATTTCTCTGACCTTGGCAGGGTGGAGCCCCTCATAGGCAGGCAGGTGGGGTCCGCTAGAAGTTGGAAGTTTCTGTCAGCTCTCCCATAAGTAGGAAGCACCAACCAGTTTCCTGGAAAGGTAGGAGGAATGTCTGTGCCCCAAAAAGAGTTACTAATACTCCCCTGGAGTCTGCCCAGACCCACTGACTTGGTCTCTGCTGCTGCCTCCTCAGTGAGGGTCAAGATGCAAGGTGGCAGCAAACAAAAACCCAGGCCTAGACAGCTTCATGGGGAAGTTTTACTGAACATTCAAAAGGAACTAACACCCATTATCCTCAAACTATTTTTCAAAACTGCAAGAAGAAGGAAGACTTCCAAACTCGTTTTATGAAGCCAGCATAATTCTAATTCCAAAACCAGAAAAAGACATTACAAAGAAAGAAAATTACAGGCCAATATCCCTGATGAACATAGATGCCAAAATCCTTAACAAAATACTAGCAAATTGGATCCAGCAATACATCAAAAAAATTATTCACCATGACCAAGTGGGATTCATCCCAGACATGCAAGGCTAGTACAATATTCCCAAATCAATAAATGTGATACACCACATAAATAAAATGAAAGATAAAAGCCATATGATCATATCAATAGACGCTGAAAAAGCATTCAACAAAATCCAGCACCTATTTCTGATAAAAATGGTCAGCAATCTGGGAACAGAAGGATCATATCTCGACATAATAAAGGCCATATATGAAAAACTTATAGCCAACAGCATACTCAATGGGCAAAAATTAAAAGCATTTCCCTTAAGAACAGGAACAAGACAGGGATGCCCACTTTTGCCACTCATATTTAACATAGTACTTGAAGTCTTAGCCACAGCAATCAAACATGAAGAAAAAATAAAAGGGATCCAAATTGGAAAGGAGGAAGTGAAAATGTCATTATTCGCAGATGATATGATACTATACGTACAAAACCCCAAAGACTCCATCAAAAATTTACTAGACTTAAAAAATAAATTTGGCAAAGTAACGATACAAAATTTACATCAAAAAATCAACAGCAGTCTTATACACCAATGATGAACTCACAGAAAGAGAAACTAAAAAAACAATCCCATTTACCATTGTGGCAAAAAAATTAAGATACCTATGAATAAACTTTTTTTTTTTAATCCTCACCCGAGAACACCTCTTTCATTTTTTGTTCAGAAAGAGTGGGAGGGAGAGAGAGAGAGAAACATCGATGTGAAAAGGACACATCAAGTGGCCGCCACCCGCACAACCCAACCAGGGCCAAGGACAAACCACAACCGAGGTAGGCACCCCCAGTGGAAACCGAACTTGCATCTCTCTGGACCGCGGGCCAATGCTCCAACTGCTAAGCCAAACTGTTCAGGGTCCTAGGAATAAACTTAATCAAAGAAGTAAAGGACCTACTTGCAGAAAGTCACTGGACATTGAAAAAAAAAATAGAGGAAGATAATAAAAAGTAGAAACACATATTTTGTTCATGGATTGGAAGAGTTTAACATCATTAAAATGTCCATATTACCCAAAGCAATCTATAGATTTAATGCAGTCCCCATCAAAATACTGACATACTTCACAGAACAAGAACAAATACTTCAAACGTTCATATGAAACCAAAAACAACCTTGAATAGCCACAGCAATCTTGAAAAAGAAGAACAAATTGGGTAGGGTCACAATACCGGACATCAGATTATACTACAAAGCTACTATAATCAAAACAGCCTGGTACTGGCACAAGAACAGGAATATAGACCAGTGGAACAGAACAGAGAACCTAGAAATGGACCCAAGACACTATGCTCAATTAATATTTTGACAAAGGTGGCAAGAGCATACAATAGAGTAAAGACAGCCTCTTTAACAAATGGTGTCAGAAAAGTCGGACAGCTACATGCATAAAAAATAAAACTAGACCATAAACTAACACCATACACAAGAATAAACTCAAAATAAATAAAAACTTAAATGTGACTCATGAAGCCGTAAAAATCCTAGAAAAAAATGTAGGCAACAAAATATCAGACATCATACGCAGCAGAATTTTCACAGATACATCACCTAAGGCAACAGAAACAAAGGAGAAAATCAACACATGGAACTACATCAAACTCAAAAGCTTCTGCGGAGCAAAAGAAACAACCATCAAAATGGAAAGTCAACCCACTCTTTGGGAGAGCATCATTGTCAATGATACATCAGATAGGAGGTTAATTTCCAAAACACATGGAGTACTCATATAACTCAACAAAAGAAAGACAAGGAACCCAATTAAAAAATGGGCAGAGGAACTAAATAGACACCTCTTCAAACAGGACATACAAATGGCTAAAAGACATATGAAGAAATGCTCAACATCACTAATCATCAGAGAGATGCAAATTAAAACAACAATGAGGTATCACCTCACACCGGTCAGAATGGTTGCTATCAACAAATCATCAAACAACAAGTGTTGGCGAGGGTGTGGAGAAAAGGGGACTCTAGTACACTGCTGGTGGAGCCACTATGGAAAACAATATGGTGTTAACTCAGAAAATTAAAAATTGAACTGCCATTTGACCCAGTGATCCCATTTCTAGGAATAAACCCTAAGAAGTCTGAAACACCAATCAGAAAGAATATATGTACCCCTAAGTTCATAGCAGCACTATTTATAAAAACTAAGATCTGAAAACAGCCCAAGTGTCCATCAGTAGACAAATGGATAAAAAAGCTGTGGTACATATACACAATGGAGTACTATGCAGCTATAAGAAAGAAAGACCTCTTATTCTTTGAGACGACATAGAGGGACCTGGAGAGTTCTATTCTAAGTGAAACAAGTCAAGCAGAGAAGGACAAATATCACATGATCTCACTTATTTGTGGAATATAATGAACATAACAGTCTGAGGAATTGGGTAGACCCAGAGACGTGAAAGTAGGGTATAAACTGACAATCCTCGGCAGAGGGGGTAAGGGTGAGTGAAGAGATAAGCCACAGAACTTATATATATGTATGCATAACTGATGGACATGAACAACAAAGCTAGGGACAGGGTGGGGGGGATGAGGAGAAGGGTATCAATGGGGAAAAAAGGAGAAACAGCTGTAACAAAAATAAATGAATGAATAAATAAATAAATAAAATAATAAAAAAGATGCAGTGTGGGGCAAACAGGATTCTAGAGAGGGGGATGAGCTCTGTATCTCAGGTAACTGTCTTTCCCCAGGATGCTGCTACTGGGAGGGGCTCATGTCTCAGAAAATATGACTGTGATGATACCAGTGGGGATGACTGAGCACAGGGATACTGGCAGCCACTCTCCCATGTCTCTCCCCAATTCGTCCCACCCCAGACTTTCCTCAGGTGATTCCAGGCTGCACTGCCCTCCCCCCACCAAAGCTGAGGGTAACTGAACAAAAATCCTGTGCATTGGCCCATAAAAAGTGGGGGGGGGGGAGGTAGGATTTGTGTACTGCAGTCTCCACCTCTCCTTGACAGATAGAAGTCACTGTCTTTCATTAGAAGCTCCGTCACCCTTCACTCCTGGATGCTATGTATGTGGCTGTTCCTGGCTCTGTGCTCTGAGCTGAGGAACAAAACTTGGGTTCTAGGCCTTCCTCCTCTCAGGGGGAAGCCCTCTGCAACAGAGATATTCCTCCACACCCTCAGCCTTGTTGCCTGTGCGAGCAGGACCAGCCCTTCTTGCGACCTCGCTCTTCCTACCAGTCTCAAGGTAGTTTCTTCCCTTCCTTTTTAAAAAAATTTATTCAGCTAGTCTTCAGTTGATAATTCAGAGTGAATGTCCCCAATTTAGTTTTATTTCCAGTTTGGTTTTGGGAAAAAGTTTCAAGAGCAAGATACACCTACACTGCTACCATCTTCTCCATTGCCTAATTCTAAATTTTTAAAACAGACAACACTGCAATAAACATTCTTTTCTAAATTTCTCTCATCTTTTTAGAAAAAAATTATTCGTGGTGTAATTGCTGAAAGGATAGATGTGTTTTTTAAGGTCTTTGATTCATATTGCCAAAATATGCCCCAGAAACTTTGCAACATTTAGACACCTAGATGGTTATAAAATTAGGAAAAATGCTTTTAAAAATCAACAAAAAAGATGTAATGCATGTTAAGCAAAATAGTCAGTAGTCTAAAGTATTACCTGAGGGCGAACCATTTCACCTGCTGCAATTTTTCTTTCCTCATTGATCAAGTTAATAATTTTTTGATTAACAAGTGGTGCATTTGCACCTTCAATCTTTGTGACAATTTTGCCATTCTATACAGGAAAAGAAAGCATGAAGGATACTTTTATTTTCAAGGTAAGTCAAAAATTAACACTTCAGTTAAACTAAGTAACCCCACTCTGACCCACACCTTCACCAATCCTTTCTTAGCAATTGTATTAGCCATTTTATTTTATTATTATTTTTTTAATCCTCACTAAGGATATTTTTCTATTTATCTTCAGATAGAGTGGGAAGGAGGAAGGGTGAGAAAATATCTATATAAGAGAGACACATCAACTGGTTGCCTCCCGCACGACCCCAACCAGGGTCAGGGATGAACCACAACCCAGGTACGTGCCCTTGACCAGAATCAAACCCATGACTCATTGGTCCACAGGCTAACACTTTAACCACTGAGCAAAACCAATCAGGGCTGTATTAGTCATTTTAAAATAAGGTATCATGATGTGAAAATATATCTTGATTTGATAAACCCAGCTCTTTGAGTTCTACTTCAAACCAAAGATAGGTCATCCCTGCATTACATTTCAACAGTTCTGTATAGGCCTACCAATTATTATTTCCATCCCCAATTATCTTTGACATTATGTAGCCCTTTCCTGTATTTCAGAGCACATTTACTAAATGCCTGTTTACTAGCACTGTAATAGGCATGATAGTATGACATAATAGTCTGACCTATTAATACCTGAACTAGTTAAATTATCAAACAAACAAAAAAAACACCCACAAACGTATGTGAAATACCAACCATGACAGGTACCATCAAGAGAGGAGCAAAGAACTTAGAGCATATGTAAGAATTGGATCCTGATCATAGAAGTTGATCATAGAAGGTATCTTTCTATAACAGGAAGTGATTCTTGGTTTAAAGTATGAAGAATGGGTAAGAGATAACTAGGCAAAAAGGAGAAAAAGAGCATTCTAGGCAAAGGGAATAAAGATGCAAGGCTCTGAAGGCCAGCAGAGAATATGGCAAATGAGAAGACCAGTCAAGAAAGTGAGGGATGCCTGATCTGAGATGAAGCCCACATCCAGGAGGAAGCCAGATCACATAGAGCCTTGTGATCATGGAAGGATGCAATTTTTATCCTAACTGCACTGGGAAGCTTTCAGAATATTTAAATAGAGGCAATGATCATGAACAAAATTATTATTTTTTAAGATCATTTCACCTACATGTGGAGAAAGGATTAGAGGGGGAGCAGGAAAAATACAAATTAGAAGCTATTCTAAAGGTGAAGATGAGAGAGATGATTGCTCTGTCTTGGTCAGTGGTAATGAGATGAAAAGAATGGAGATAAACAGATGAGTATGAGGAAAACCTGGGTGGTAAAATTGATCTGGTGTTGATTAGGTATGACGCAAAGAGAAGTTGCTAGAATAACTTTTCTGTAATGACTTGAGAAACTGGATAAATTAAGATGTTATACACCAAAAGAGGCAACACTAGAAAACCATGTTTTCTTGAGGGAGGGAGGATTGGGTCAGTTCATTGTGAGATGCCTTTGAGGCAACCAAGAGGAAATGTCAAGGCACCTGTCAGATACATAAGTCTGGAGCTCAAAGCATAGGATTTAGCTGAAGATGTAAACTTAAGTTATTGATATATCCGAAGTGACAAGTGAAACTGTGTGAAGGAGATTTTCTAAGTAAAGTATATGACATGATAAAGTCAATATCTAACAGGTGAATAAAGAAGGATAAATTTGCAAAAGAGATGGAGGGTGGGTAGCATCTAAGAAGGCAAAAGAAAAACCAAGTAACAAAAATCAAAAGAAGCAAATGTTTCAAAAAGATAGATATGGTCACTCTATTCAATATATTTGAGAGGTAAAGTATCACGAAGACTTAAAAGTATTTGTTATATTTAGCACTAGGCTGGTAATTGGATACATTAGCAACAGCAAATCTGGTGGAATAATCATAAGTTAGATACATTGAATGCGTGTGAAGTTAATTGGATAGAAGAAATGGAGTAAAAATCACTATAAAAATTATTCTGAGAAATTTAGCTGTGAACTAAGAGAGAGATGGGTGGAAGCTGAAGAGGATCATATGAAAAGAAGTATTCTATTTTAATTGGAAAGACTTAATCCTATTCAACAGCCAATGAGAAGGATCCAGTTGAGAAAGGTTTAAGTGAAACCTGACATTCTAATGACTATTTCCCACTAAGAAGAACTTTCCAACAATTCTGTGAGCTTTCTAATTTCCCTTGAAAAAGGCTTTCCTGATGAAACTTGCTGGAATGGATTTATTGTTAGCTAAGAATGCTGACCAATACAAAGGGCCACTTTGGGACTGTTTGAATAAGCTAACAATGAGCTCTATAGCAGTTTTGTGGTTTCACTCTCAAACAGAGCCACACATGGTGACTGTGCTGTGTGGTATGGGGAAAGGGAAAATGCTCTCCCACCTCCAGAGTGGGACTGGGACCCCTCCCCCCACCTGTGGAGCACACAGACTGATCCATCCTGGGGTGCTGGTGGCAGGGCAGATGGGGGCAGGGGGTTCAGTTCACACTGAGAAAAGTTGGGAGCACAAGTGGAGCTGGCACTCTTGGCCCTGACTCTACTGGGATCAGCTGTGTGGAGAGAACAAAGTATTGCATGAGGCTGACTTTGTAACCCCTACTGCTTAAAACTATGGGTTGGGGGCCCTGGGTCCTTGCAAAGCAAGGGGATTGCTTGTTTCTTTTTATTTCTGGACAGCATCCCAGAGCATCTTCCCATAAGACTTTGTGTTGCATAGACAGAACTGGGCTTTGTGACTGCATTGTGGGGAGGCTGATCTGGGCATCCTGTGAGTTCAGCCAGCCAGCCCTGGGAATGCATGGTGGAGCTCTTCTACCCCTTCTCCAGATTGGGGACACCAACCCCAGGAAAGGTTGTGGATCATCTCTCTGAAGTCCTGGATACCCCCACTAATGCGCAGTTCAGTGGGGGTAGGGAGAACAGTTCAGAGGAGGACATTCAAAGGGTAAGACCCTTAAAGGCTATTGTCTGGGACCAGGAGGAAATGCTTAGCTCTCCTCCTGTGGGCTGGGCAGGCAACAAGCTCAGCAGAGACTCTTTTGATCAATTCCACTGAAACTTCTCTTGAAGAGAAGGTGGCAGGCTGTATCCAACCTAAACCTATACCAGTCCACCTTAGTGGGAACTAGAGTTGGAGGATAAGGTAGAAATTGGGGAGTTTGGCTTTGAATCAGAGATTAATTTACCCTCATTGAGTGCCTGATGGCGGAATCTCTAAGTAGGAGGGCTACTAACCCTAGCTATACTAGCCTGGCTCCACTCTAAAGACTCTCTTTGGAAAACACTGGAGGAAGACCAGGAAACCTCAGGGGGCAGGCAGAGTAGCTGAAAGGTGGGGGAGGTCCTCAGAGAGCCTCAGACTGACCACAACTACAACAGTATGCTGAGAGTCAAACTTGGACAGCTCTTGATATTGGCTGACATAAAAGTACCTCCCAGGAGGCCTGAAATCATTATGCAAAACAGTGAGCCTCAGATATTTTAACTGCCCAAACTTCACTTGGCTGGCTTACACAAAATTTTTTGATGTTTTTGTTTTTTTTGTTGTTGTTCTTCTTTCAATATTTTCTATATTGTTTCTGCTTTATTGCTTTGAATTATCATTGCTGTTGTTGTTAAGATTGTTGCTCTTTTCTCTCTTGTTTCATTCATATCTCTATTAGCCTCCTTCTTTTTCTTACTCTACCTTTTTTCCCTTTTTATTTTCCATTTTTCTTTTGCTTTACCTTTATTTTCTGTTTACCCTAACATAACCGTTTTTTTCTTTCTTTCCATCACCTTGTCTATTTTTTTTATCCTTTTTGCTTTTCCTACTCTGTACTCTTATTTTTTGCTCTCCCTTCTTTCCTTTCAGAATCCTTTTTATGTCTCTTTGCTCTTCCAGTATCCTCTTTATTTTTTATTTTACTATTAGCAATATTATCTTTTTCTCTCTTTCTATTTTGTTTATAATTCATTGTCTCTTTTGTCTTTCATAATTATCTTTTTTTGTGGTTGTTTTTGCTGTTGTCAGAATATTTTGTATGTTCCTGCTTGTTTCCTACTTGTTTTGTTTTTCCCTGTCAGTACCTGTACAACAGCTTACATGACGAGCTTTACAGTTAGTCAGCCTGAGAAGAGAAACCATCCACAAATGGGACAACAATAGTCAAGATCCAATTACAAGCAAAAAGCCCAAATAACCCACAAATGGGTCACACCTAGAGCATACAGCTCAGTAGTACAAGAAAACCATGCCACTGAGTCACACAGGACATTTACTACAAAAGCCTACCCAACAAATACTGGGAGTCATAGCAGGTATATCTAACATATAGATACAAACACAAACAGACAACTAAAATGAAGAGACAAAGAAACAACACCCAAATTAAAGAAAGGGAGGAATTGCCAGAAAAAGACCTAAATGAGATAGAAGTAAGCAAGTTATCAGACACAGATTTCAGAGTAATAGTTATAAAGATGTTCAAGGAACTTAGTGAAAACTACAAGAAACTACTGGGACCTACAAGGAAATTGCTGGGACCTACAAGAAACTTAATGGAAGCTACAGCAGCATAAAAAAAAAAGACATAAAATTTATAAATAAGAATCAGGCAGATATAAAGAATACTATATCAAACATCAAGAATAAGATGGAAGAAATTAAAAGCAGGCTTGATGAAGAAGGGGATCAAATAAGTGAATTAGAAGACAAGGTAAAAAAAGAAAACAACTCAATCAGAGCATCAAAAAGAAAAAAAAGTACTTAAAAAGCATAAAGATAATTTAAGAAAACTTTGGCACAATATGAAACAGAACAACATCCACATCGTAGGGGTACCAGAGAGAGAAGAAAGTAAGCAAGGGATAGTGAAACTGTTGGAAGAAATAATGACAGAAAATTTCCCTATCCTAATGAAAGAAAAAGCCACACAAGTTCAGGAAGCACAGAGGATACCAATAAAGATGAACCCAAAGAGACTCACTCCAAGACCCATCATAATTAAAATGGCAAACATTAAAGACAAAGAGAGAATCATAAGGGCAGCAAGAGAGAGAGTTAGTGACCTACAAGGGAGCGTCAATAAGGCTGTCAGCTGATTTCTCAACACTACAGGCCAGAAGGAAATTGCATGAAGTCATGAAGTATTTAAACTAATAAAAAGCAAGGATCTAAAACCAAGACTACTATCCAGCAAGACTATCACTCAAAATTGAAGGTGAAATAAAGAGCTTCCCAGACAAAAAGGGGAAAAAAAAGGCTAAAGGAATTTATTGCCACAAAACAATCAATTCAAGAAATGTTAAAGGGACTGCTGTAAAAAGAAGAAATAGAGACAGAGTGGGGACATAGACATAAAGAATAAAAATGGTGCCCTGGCTGCTTTGCTCAGTGGTTAGAGCATCATTCTGTGGTCCAGAGAGACCTGGGTTCAGTTCCCGCTAAGGGCAGGTACTTCAGTTGCTGTTTGTCCCCGGCCCTAGTTGGTGGTGCGGGTGGCAGCCACTTGATGTGTCCCTTTCATGTCGATGTTTCTCTCTCTCTCTTCCTCTCTCTCCCTCCCACTCTACATGAACAAAAAATGGAAAAATGTCCTCAGGTGAGGGAAAAAAAAAAAAAGAATAAAAATGGCAATAAGTATCTATTAATAATAACCTTAAATGTAAATTAATTAAAGGTTCCAATCAAAAGACATAGGGTAGCTGAATGGATAAAAAAACATGACGCATGTATATGCTGTCTACAAGAGATCCACACAGGATAAAAGTGAAGAGATGGAAAAAATGTTTTCCATGAAAATGGAAACAAAAAAAGGAGGGGTAGCAATACTTATATCTGACAAAATAGACTTCAAAGCAAAGATCATAACAAGAGACAAAGAAAGCCACTACATAATATAAAAGAATCTATTCAACAAGATGACATAACCCTGGTAAATATATATGCACCTAATACATTAGTACCTAAATATAAAAAAGCTCTTGGAAATACAGTTTTAGTAGGGGATTTTAACACCTCCCTGACATCATTGAATAAATCTTCCAGACAAAAAAATCAACAGGGAAACAGTGACCTTAAATGACATACTAGATAAGAGGGATTTAACTGGCATTTACAAAACATTTCACCCCACAGCTTCAGAATATATATTCTTCTCAAGTGTACATGAAACATTCTAAAATATAGATCACATGTTAGGACACAATATAAGTCTCTACAAGTTCTAGAAGATTGAAATCATATCAAGCATCTTCTTGGATCATAATGGCATGAAACTAGATATCAACTACAATAAAAGCACTCAAAAATATTTAAACACCTTGAGGCTAAATAGCATGTTATTAAATAATAAATCAGTTAACAATGAAATAAAGGAAGAAATCAAACAATTTTTGGAAACAAGTGAAAATGAACACACAACAACCCAAAATCTATGGGACACAGCAAAAGCAATCCAGTATTACTGGCCTACCTTAAGAAACAAACAAACAAAAAAATCTCTAATAAACTATCTAACCCTACTACTAAAAGAATTAGAAAGAGAACAACAACAGAAACCAGAGTAAGTAGAAGAAAGGAAATAATAAAAACCAGAGTGGAAATAAATGACAGAGGCCAAAAAAAAAAAAAAGATCAATGAAACCAAAAGCTGGTTTGTTTATAAAGATAAACAAGATAGACGAACCATTAGCAAGACTCACCAAGAAACAAAGACAGAGGAGCCAAATAAATAAAATCAGAAATGAAAAGGGTAAGTAACAGCTGACACCACAGAAATACAAAGGATTATAAGAAAATACTATGAACAACTATATGCAAACAAATTAGACAACCTGGGAGAAATGGACAAATTCCTAGAAACATACAATCTTCCAAAATTCAATCAGGAAGAATCAGAAATCCTGAGCAGACAAAATAACAACTAATGAAAATGAAGCAGTAAGCAAAAAATTCATAGCTAACAAATGTCCTGAACCAGATGGCTCCACAGGGGAATTTTATCAAACATTCAAAGAATTAACACCTATTCTCCTCAAACTATTTTAAAAAATTCAAGAGGAAGGAAGACTTCCAAGCGCTTTTTACCAGGCCAGCATTATCCTAATCCCATGACCAGATAAAGACACTACAATGAAAGAAAATTACAGGCCAATAATCCTGATAAACAAGATGCTAAAATCCTCAACAATATATTAGCAAATAGGATCCAGCAATGCATTAAAATATCATATTATTATTATATTAAAAATATCATACATTAAAAATACCATGACCAAATGGAAATTATTCCAGGGATGCAAGGCTGGTACAATATTTGCAAATCAGTAAATGAGATATACCACATCAACAAAATGAAGGCTAAAAATCACATGATCATATCAATAGATGCAGAAAAGCATTTGATAAAATCCAGCAACCATTTATGATAAAAACTCTCAACAAAGTGGAAATAGAGAGATCATATCTCAAAATAATAAAGGCCATATATGACAAACCTAACCCAACTGTACTCAATGGGAAAAAAGACTAATAGTGTTTTCCTTAAGAACAGGAACAAGATCAGGGATCCATATTCACCATCCATATTCAACATAGTACTGGAAGTCCTAGCCATAGTGATCAGAAATAATAAAAAATAAAAGTCATCCAAATTGGAAAGGAGGAAATAAGACTGTCATTATTCACAGATGACAAGATATTGTACATAGAAAACCCTATAGAATCCACCAAAAAACTACAAGAGTTGATGAATGAATTTGGCAAAGTAGCAAAATACAAAATTAACATCCACAAATCTATAGCGTTTTTATACACCAATAATGATCTCTCTGAAAGGGAAACTAAAACACAATTCCTTTTATCCTTGCAACAATAACAAAAAAATAAGATACCTAAGAATAAACTTAACTGAAGAGGTAAAAGACCTATACTTGGAAAACTACAGGACATTGAAAAAAGAGAGAAGAAGATATGAACAAGTGGAAGAAATACTGTATTCATGGATTGGAAGAATTAACATTGTTAAAATGTCCATACTACCAAAAGCAATCTATAGATTTCATGTAATCTCTATTAAAATACAAATGACATATTTCACAGATCTAAAACAAATACTCCAAAAATGTATATAGAACCAAAATATATCCTGAATAGCTGCAGCAATTTTCAGAAAAAAGAACAAAGTAGGAGAGATCAAAACGCTAGATATAAAGTTATACTTCAAAGCCACTGTAAAATTAAAACAGCCTGGTACTGGCACAAGGACAGGCATATAGATCAATGGAACAGAACAGAGAACTCAGAAATCGACCCAAGCCATTGTGCTCAATTAATATTTGACAAAGGAGGCAAGAGTATACAATGAAGTGAAGATAGTCTCTTCAATAAATGGTGTGGAGGAAGTTGGACAGGTACATACATAAAATTCAAACTAGACCACCAACTTACACCATACACAACAAAAACTCAAAACAGACAAGAGACTTAAATGTAAGTTGTGAAATCATAAAAATCGTAGAAGAAAATGTAGGCAGCAAAATCTCAGACATCACATGTAGAAGAATTTTCACTGATACGTTGCCTAGGGCAAGAAAAACAAAGGAAAATATAAACAAATGGTAAGACATCAAACTAAAAAGCTTCCACACAGCAAAAGAAACCAGAGTCTAAAAGAAAAGGGAACCCACTGTATGGGAGAATGTATTTACTAATGATACATCTGATAAGAGATTCATTTCCAAAATATATAAAGTACTCATACAATTCAACAGAAGGAAGACAAACAATCCAATTTAAAAAATGGGCAGAGGACCTGAATAGGCACTTCTCCAAAGAGGACATACAAATTGCCACACCTGTTAGAATGGCTACCATCAATAAATCAATAAACAAGTTCTGGTGAGCATGTGGAGAAATCCTAGTGCTGGTGGGGAGATGCAGACTGATGCAGCCACTATGGAAAACAGTATGCAGTTTCCTCAAAATATTAAAAATGGAACTGCCATTTGACCCAGTGATACCATTTCTAGGAATATATTCTAAGGATCCTAAAACACCAACCATAAATAATATAGGCACCCCTGTGTTCACAGCAGCATTATTTGCAATAACTAAAATCTGGAAAACAGTTTAAGTGCCCATTGGTAGATGAGTGGATAAAAAAGCTGTGGTACATTTGCACAACAGAATACTATGCAGCTGTAAAGGGGAATGATCTATTGCCTTTGAGATAGTATGCAGGGCCCTGGAGATTATTATGCTAAGTGAAACAAGCCAGTCAGAGAAAGATAAGTATCACATGATCTCACTTATATGTAGAATCTAATGAACAAAATAAACTCATGAATAAAATAGAACCAGAGGCATGGAACAGACTGACAAATCTCAGAGGGAATAGGGGAGTGTGTGTGTGTGGTAGTGGTGGTGGGGGGGGGGAGATCAACCAAAGAACTTATATGCATACATGCAGTGCCCATGGACACAGACAATAGGGTGGCCAAGGCCTGGAGAAGGATGGGATCTGGTTGGAGGGTGGCAATGGGAGAAAATTGGTGGGGATATCTGTAATACTCTCAACAATAAAGATAATTTTAAAAAATAGTTTTGTGGTAATTTTGCAATGCTACTTGCTCTTTTACTATAAATTGGAATCTGGTAATACATTTGAAACAATAAACATTATACTTACAACACTAAAAAGAAAAATAGGCTCACAATTGTCTCTAAATGGCTGCAAAGTCGCAATGCTGTTAGCTTCAGCCTGGAAAAAAAGTTAACATTTCACATGATAATAAAGGAAACTATATATAGTCATTAGATACACTATGTACAAAAAACACACATACACATATAATTTTTATTTTTACATTTACTCAATATTTTTTAGTATGTTATAGTTGTTTTAAGGATCAAGCTGCAAACACTAGCCAGTCAAGCCCTGCATCATTTGGCCTCAACCTGACTTGCAAATGTTCACTGCTACCTTCCAAAAGAATGAAAGGGGCTGAAAGAAAGTAATCTATAATATTAAAGAACATAGGTCAAAGATTATCTACAAAAGTAATTAGGTATCATATTACAATGTTTACATCATAATAAAGCACTAATAATTAAAGCATATAATAATATAAAAGAATTACAATAAATATTTACTGAATTTTTCTATGTATGGGTAAAATGTTACTACAAGTATTCAAGTCTTTTAAAATAGAACATAAAAAAAATTTTATAGTGACTGTTCAAATTAGGATGATTTCAAAAGGTAATCAATTTCATAGGTTTTAATTTGGGATTTAAATTGACAAGTTCAGAAAGGTTCCCTTTCCCTGGCTAACTGCGGAAAGCAAAATATCCAGCAGAGGACGCCCCTCCATTGCTTACAATGGAGGTTTGGAAACTAAGAATTCATTTTTTTTTAACCCTTAGGTGCAGGTCATATCATAAAAACAGCATCAATCTATGTGAATATACTATTGTTGAGTGCACTCAAACATAATAGAAAAGAAATCATTCAAGGGCAACACACATTTTTTGGTTAAATTCAACAGATGCTGCTATTATTATAGATAGAACATATTTTGGAAAGACTAGTAGCACTGCCCAGGGGGACAGACATAGTCATAGAACTGATGCCTCCTGAGTAGGCTGAGGAGTTCCATCTGGTTCAGGTACTGCTCAGTGGACAATCATAAACCTCAGGCTGGTATCCTCACACAGCTCTGAACTTTGCTTAGATAGGGAGCCTAACATATATGGTCAAATTTTTCTTCCACACCCACTCAGCTGACCCTATTACCATCCCCACCCCGCTTATATCCCAGCTTTGTTCCTACTCAGATTCAACAAACTAGGAAGGATATAATGACTCTAGATCATCTGGAAACACCAAGTTACACTATCTCATTGCCTAAGGACTTCTTGCCTCACTTTCCTCTGCTCAAGTTCCCTTCCAGCTAACCTGACAGATGGGCAAGAGGGCCTGCCCTGTTGTCAGCTTCTCCCCACTGACCTCTAATTTCCTTTTAGACATTGGAATGTCCTGATGGTCCCTAGCCCATGAATTTGCACTCCTGCCACAACCAGACAGCTGCCAGGATTCGTAAGAATTTTCTGATGATGCATGATTGTCTGTGATCCATTTGCCAGCTGTTAGATCCTACTGATACTGTCTTTTAACTTCTTATACCAACCGATTTTCTATTGCATGTGGCACTCCCCTTTAAGCCCCATTCTCTGTTCTTGGAAATTAGGTTTTCCTCCCTGCCAAGGATAAAATTTAGAATGACATTCCAGCCCCATTCAGAAGGTTCTGACTCTCCAGAGTAAAGCAGGTTGTTATGGAATGTTGCCTTTTAAAATACTGCAGTGCCTATCCTGGCCTGTGTGGCTCAGTTGGTTGGAGTATCATCCTGTGCACAGAAGGGTCGTGGACTTGGTTCCCAGTCAGGGCACATACCCAGGTTGCAAGTTTGACTCATTGTCAGGGTGCTATAAGCAGTTAATAACTTAATGTGGTTAACATGAATAATCAATACCATGAGATTCAATGAGTTTGGCCGTAACATTTTATCCTTTGTCATATTTGAGTGGCAAATAAATGAGGGAAATCACTACCGTTGGAAAATTGCTACCTGGTAAATGCCCAGAATCCTTCCCTAAACTATCCAGTTAACAGCACTTGCATCTCTTATTCTAAGAGACACACTGTATAAGGTCAGGTGAAAAGAAACAGATCAATAGACATATCCATTTTTATACTTTTCTAATTAGCACAGCCAACATCAATAACCTCAACATTATAGGAGTGGGATAAAAATCACATTTGTTCCCAGATCAGGTAGAACTCAACCTATGGTAAAACTACCAAGTAAACCCTGTCCATCTTGAAGAGTTGACAAGTTGTTTAAATTAAGACAATCTTTAAAGATAACATTTCAACACTGAAAGTGACAAGAAAACAATAGTTTAATGGAAATTAAATCCTTACTACAACAAAATGCAGAATTTCATCTTCATTCAGCTCAGTTTTCAATTTTCTGAATAAAGTTTGCATTGCTTTGCAAGGTCCACACCAGGCTTGGTAAACATCGATCACTAGAAGATGATGATATTTATGAAAGAACAGAGTCAAAGATTCTGGAATAGCAACTTATCCCTGTGCTGGGGGAGGGGCAAGGGCAAAGACATTGCAGGGCTTTATGCTGGAAGCAGGAAGCCAGGCTCTGCTAGGGTGCCATGAGGTGCCCTGGACCAAACTCCAGGTGACTGGACTATGGGGGGGCCCCAGTACCTGTGAGGCCTTTGTTCTGCAACATCTCATCCCATAGGCTTTGATTATTGATGACTGCCTGCAAAACAGAAGGCACTGTAAAAAGTCCTCAAATGCCAATGCACCAAGTAAAGAATTGTTGATGTCATGCACACCTGTAACTGGATTTCTCGCTTTTTGCCTGCCATTTATCCACTATCACATGAAAAAGGGGAGAAAAATAGAAAACATTTCAGATAAATTTAAATAATGTCCTTTTTATGCATTCTTAATGTACCATAGATATTTTACTTCACTATTGGCTTACTTCACTTCTCTAGAGAAAGGCTCCAATGTCCCTAAAAGTCTGGCTGTTCCTGCTGGGCTCTCTACTAAATGCTTACTTAGAGCAGCAAAACTTAATCTCTCAAGAATCCTGAAGCAAAGTAAGAATGCTAGAAATTAGAATTAATTAAAAATTGTTGTGTTTGTTTTTCTGAAGTACTATGGAGTGTTCTCTATTTTCATTTGTACACATTATCTTTGAACATGCTTACGGATCTTGAGCCCTTCTCCAAGGAGATTTCATTTTTAAGCCCTGGCCAGTCTGGCTCAGAGGTTAGAGTGTGAGCCATGGACTGAAGGGTCTCAGGTACCATTCCCAGTCAAGGGCACATACCTGGGTTGCAGGGTTGTCCTGCCCCACTGGGGTGGTGGGGGAGGCAACCAATCAATGTGTCTCTCTCACATTCATGTTTCTCTCTCTCTACCTCCCTCCTTTCACCCTGTCTGAAAAATCGATGGAAAAATACCCTCGGGTGAGGATTAACCAAAAATAAATTTTAAAAAGGAGATCTAATTTTTAGAATAAGGCCACTAGTTGTATGGAGCACAACATAAACATTCCACAGGTGTTAAATCAGTGAGGCCCATATACCCTATTCAGTGGTGTCAGGGACATTGAGGGTGGTCTGACTGTGTGTGTGACAGCAGACACTAGTATAAAACAAAGGAATGATCACAAACAACCAGACTACATGCAGCAGATCGTATTGGATTCTCCAAGAAGCCTTACACAAAACAGAACTTCCTTTAAGCTAGATTGGGACGTTTAAAGAACAGGAAGGAACAATCCCCCAGGGTCTAAATCGTGCCCTTTGCCTAAGCCTGTGCCTTTGTGGGGTGAGCTCCACGAAGTCCTAGTACGTGGGCGCCAGGCAGGCAGGGAGACGGAGTGTGGCGTGGGCTCTTGCTGCGCTTTCTGCGGATGCTGGATAGCCAGGGAAGCGGTTGGGCGCCAACGTTTCCTGCCAGCCTTCTGACGTGCACGAGCCCAGGCAGTTCCGGGACCCCTCAGCCTTCCCAAGTGGCTCAGAGCTGGGCGGAGGTTACATATGATACAACTGACCCGGAAAATTGCCCCCTCTGTGTCCCTACCCTGAAAGGACTACAAAGGCCTGTTTTCACCCTTCTCCCTCAGCTGCCTCCTCGGTCTCAGTCCCCAGCCCATGCAAGGTGATGTGTGAAATTAGTTTTTTAAACATCACTTTTATTGATTGCAAAAAGCTTGAATGTTGAGGTTTTGAACGATAAACTTGATGAGATTTTGATTTGGGTCTTCCTAGATTGGCTTCAAAGACAAATGCATTCTGAAAACGTTATTTGTAAGAAAATGCATTTATATTTTATTACAGCAGAATGTAAATTATAAATGCCAAATAGCTTAGAAGAGATGTTATTCCTTAAGGGATCTAATTGTTTTGATCCTTACATATATTTGACTTTATTTTTCAAGATTATTTTAAACATGATCTTCCCACGTTTACCTGCCGTTCCTCCTTCCTCTTCAACACTCTCTATAGTATTTAATTATTTTCTGGGTCGTAGATTTATTACCACCTAACTATTTCATTTGTATATTCACTGGACCTCTAAATATATGTGAAGGCCCAGAGAAGAGGAACTGATCTTTCTTCAAATTAACTGAATTTTTTTTTGCCATTTCTCATGCGTTGAGTCCATCTAATGAATGTGTTATTTCAGTTATTGTATCTTTCAACTTTAGAATACCCATTTTTAATAGTTTGCATATCGCTGTTGAGATTTCTTATCTGATACATTCATTGACATCATATTTTCATTAATTTTAAAATATTTTGTCCTTTCTTTGAACATAAATTTTTTACAGCTGCTTTGAAATCTTTGCTAAATATAATGATTGGGCCCACTCAGAGTCAATTTCTATTAGTTGCAGTTATTCTTCCTGAGCAAAGGTCATACGTTTCTGTTTTTTTTGCAAATCTTGTAAGTTTTAGTTAAAAACTGGGCATTATTTTTAATAATGTCAGCCTTATAAAGACTCTGACTGCAATCTGTTGTATTATTTTAAACATTGCTATTTAATTGTTTTAGTAGGTAATTAACTTTCTTTTCAGGACTCAAAATGCAAAATTAGAATACCCTATGGTGTGCACCATTTAATAAAAAGATAAACTGTATGATATAAAGATATAGAGGAGTTGAAATTCAATGATGGAAAAGATATAATATAAATACTAAGTTGACATGATTATATTAATATCAGACAAAGTGACTTCAATACAAGGGTATTTTCACAGATAGACATTTCATGATAATAAAAAGTTTCATCAGGAAGACAAATATTTTTATTTATTTATTTATTTATTTTTATCCTCACCTGAGGACATTTTTCCACTTTTTGTACAGATAGAGTGGGAGGGAGAGGGAGGAAGAGAGACAGAGAGAAACATCGATGTGAAGGGACACATCGAGTGGCTGCCACCCGCACGACCAACCAGGGCCGGGGACACACTGCAACCAAGACAAATATTTTTAAATGTATATACTTAAAAACAGAGTTTCAAATACATGGAGCAAAATAGTTGCCTGAATTAAATGAAAAAATAGACACGTCCACAATCATATTTAGAGATTCTAACATCCTTTTCCCAATAACTGATAGAATAAGTATATATAAATCAGTAAGATTATTGAAGATGTAAACAACCTTATCAATCATCTTAACCTAATTGACATGTACTGACAACTGCAGAATACACCATCTCTTCCAGTGCACTCAGAATATTTTCTACAATGAACCATATAATTAGTTAATTTTTAAAAATCATAATAAATTTCAAAAACTGAAATCTTTCAGCATATTTTCTATAATCACAATAAGTATAAACTAGAAATCAATCACAATAAAATATTTGGTAAGTTGTTAATCACCAATAGTTAAACAACACTCTACTAAATAACCCATGAATCAAAAAAGAAATCAAAAGAGAAATTGGAAAATATTTCAAATTGAATAATAATTAAAACACAACATATCAAAATTTGTTGGATGTTGGTAATTCAGTGGTTAAAGGGAAAGTATAATATTAAAGTCATATTACAATAAGATAGGTTTTAAAATATATAATGATCTAAATTACAACTTAAGAACTAAAAGAAATAACATATTATAGGGTGAAGCAAGAATACAAGAAAGATTAGAATAAAAACCAATTAAATAGAAAACAGAAAACAAAATGATATTGACAAAATCAAAGGTTGTTTTTTTGTAAAGATCAGCAAAATTGATAAATTCAGACCTATAGTAATTTTTTAAAAAATAGGTTAAATAAAAATTACCAGCATCACAAATAAAAGATGAGATATCGCCCTGGCTAGTTTGGCTCAGCGGTTAGAGCGTCGGCCTGTGGTCCAGAGAGACCCGGGTTCAGTTCCCGCTAAGGGCACGTACCTTGGTTGCAGTTTGTCCCCGGCCCTGGTTGGGTTGTGCAGATGGCAGCCACTCGATGTGTCCCTTTCATGTCGATGTTTCTCTCTCTCTCTCTCCCCCTCCCCCTCTATGTCCCACTCTATCTGAACAAAAAATGGAAAAATGTCCTCGGGTGAGGATTTAAAAAATAAATAAATAAATAAAAGATGAGATGTCCTTAGTGACCTCACAGCAATTAAAATAACAATAATGGAGTATTATAACAACTTTATGTCATCAAATTTTTTTTCTTTATTTATTGTTGAAAGTATTACAGATGTCCCTCTTTTTTTCCCCATTGACCCCCCTCCTTCCCACTCCCACTCCCCTCCTGCTTTTCCCTAATTAATGTCTGTGTCCATTAATTGTGCATATATGCATATAAGTTTTTTGGTTTATCTCTTTCTACCCTTCCACCCTCCATTTCTCTGAGGTTTGTTAATCTGTTCCCTACTTCCATGACTCTGGATCTATTTTGGTCAACAGCTTATTTTGTTCATCATGTTCCCTAAATAAGTGAAATCATGTGGTAATTGTCTTTCTCTGACTGGCTTATTTCACTCAGCATAATACTCTCCAGTTTTCTCCATGTAGTCTCAAAGGGTAAGAGGTCTTTCTTTCTTACAGCTGCACAGTATTCCATTGTGCAAGTGTATCACAGATTTTTTAATCCTCTCATCTACTGATGGACACGGGTTGTTTCCAAATTTTACCTATTGTAAATAATGTTGCTATAAACATAGGGGTGCATATACTCTTTCTGATTGGTGTTTCAAGCTTCTTAGGATATATTCCCAGAAATGGAATCACTGAATCAAATGGCAATTCCATTTTTAAATTTTTGAGGAGTCACCATATTGTTTGCCTTAGTGGCTGCACCAGTCTGCATTCCCACCAGCAGTGTATTAGAGTATAACATCCCTGGTCATCAGAGAGAGGCAAATTAAAATAACTGTGAGATATCACCTCACACCTGCCAGAATGGCAGCCATCAACAAATCTTCAAACAACAAGTGCTGGCAAGGATGTGGAGAAAAGGGTATGTCATCAATTTTTAAAAACCTAGATGAAATAAAAGTTCTTTGAAAAATGCAACCTGCCTTTTTAATTCAGTCATTGTAAACTATAAATGTTTTATGTATTTAAATACATATAAAGATACCAAAGTACAGACATATCAAATTATAGCTGTTTTTATTTACAGTGGTGACAAAGAGTAGAAACAATAAGCCATTAATTATATCTGCAATATTTGGTTACTGACACTAAAAATTGTCAACTATTACTTGTATGATTATAATATATCAATTCTAAATAAATAATTTAGAATTGAGCAACATTATTAGAATAAAAATTGGAAGCAACATAAATGATCCAAATAGAGGAGATTATATTAAAGATGGTTAATACTTACAGATG